AGTGCATTTTAAAATATAAGTTAAAAGTTTCTTTTTTATTTAATCTGATTCTGGGGCTTGTTAGACATTTGGATATTATATAACATCATAGTATAAACTAGTATAATATTTACATAATCATAGGATCATAGGATAATAATTGTTGGTGAGTAATGAGTTAAGTTTTTTGTAGTAAGTGCTTTGTTGTAAAACTTGTATTAAAAACAGTAAAATGAATCTCAAAAAAGCATGATATTTTTTAAGTTAAGATAACATTTAAGATAACTTTTACTTACGTATGATACTTAGCTCCTATTAATCTTTATCTCCTAAAATTTGCTTTAAATAATGACCTGTATTACCATTTMATGAAATCATGCATGTATAATTTATTTTTTTCAATTAGATAACTACATATGCACACAAGGACGAAAATAATCGATGGTTAGTAAAATTCTATAATGATGATGAAAAAATAAGTATCAATGACACCGTAAGATATATAAAACACGGAGATATGATAAGACTGGAACATGTACCAACAAGGCGTAATTTACATTCACACCGTGAACCAGCTCCGATAACAAAAAAACATTATCAAGTCACAGGTTATGGAGAGGTAATAGTGTAATACCACTGAAAAAGTGAAAACAATATTTTTACTATTTGAGTAGAAAAAAATAATGAATTAGTTTAAGTAATAAATTAAGTCATAATATTAGTTATTATGTTCTTAAAAATATAAGATTATTACTAATTCTCAATAATATTATCTTAGAATGGTACTGGTGATTACAATGATGTTTGGAAAGTATTTGTCGATGGTGGTTCAGATGGTAATGTTGTCTCTGCAGTAACAAGTAAAATCAAATTAGTTCATGTTCTTCAACATTGTGTACTCACCACAAGCAACAAGCAGTTGCCAAAATGGTAACTTATATTTTTGATTTGATTATTATACAATGATTTTGAATGAAAAGCTTTATATAAGTGCATACTAACAATGTTATTTTCTTGGTATTAAAATTGCAAGAATTAAAGCTTA